GAGGGAGAGGAATTATTTAAGCTCAATACCAATGTGGACACAAGAACAAATGGATATTAGCTGGCTATTAGGAAGTTTAGACTCGAAATTAGGCAAAGGTTTCTAACCATCAGAGGAGTGAAGTTCAGGAACAGCCTTCCAAGGGAAGTAGTGGGGGCAAAAGACCTATCTGGCTTCATTGATGGAAAATGTTAATTAAACCAATGCCTGATTTACCTGTGAATCAAGGAAAAGCAACTATCCCTGCACAGTCCTCAGCTGTTCAGCACACTCATTTATTTCTCCTACCCTTTGTCTCATAGACTAGAAGATCTTTAGGACAGAGACCATCCCTTACGGTGTGCTCATTTATAATGCTTAGCACAATAAGGTCTAGATGCTACCTTCATCCAAATAGTCACCTCATGTATAACATCCAAGTCAAGGTTCCCTGGAAGCTGAGTGTTTGGGCGGCCACCCAGGAGAAATTCAAAGGTTGCCCATCTGATGAACAGGGTGTCCACAGTGCTAGCATCTGGCAGCCTGTGTTTTTAGTGGTGGTGCACATCCACAGATGCCTTGGTGCATCTAACAAAATGTATTCCATATGTGGATGGAAAAATTAGAGGGAACATTGATCCATATGTATCTCATTTCCCTCGACATTTGGGCTGTGTCTAGACTGGCCAATTCTTCTGGAAAATCATCCACTTTTCCGGAAAAACTTGCCAGCTGTCTACACTGGCCGCTTAAATTTCCGCAAAAGCACTGACTTCCTACTGTAAGAAATCAGTGCTTCTTGCGGAAATACTATTCTGCTCCCGTTCAGGCAAAAGTCCCTTTTGCACAAAGCTTTTGAGCAAAAGGGTCAGTGTAGACAACTCAGATTTGTTTTCCGCAAAAAAGCCCCGATCGCGAAAATGGAAATCGGGGCTTTTTTGTGGAAAAGTGCGTCTAGATTGGCACGGACACTTTTCCACAAAAAATGCTTTTGCGGAAAAGCATCCGTGCCAATCTAGACGCTCTTTTCCAAAAATGCTTTTAATGGAAAAGTTTTCCGTTAAAAGCATTTCCGGAAAATCATGCCAATCTAGACACAGCCCTGGAGTATTATTGGTTTCTAAACTTGCTAATATTTTATGTTTATGAAAACTGTAAATTTATGTCAGCATGTTGGTGAGTTTCTATTACTATGACAGTGTTACAATTTTATTTCCTGATCTTTTTAGTGTTTAAAATCACAACTTTAAAGTTACACTGATTTTTTTTTAAATTAGTGATGTACATATTTATACAGTGGGTGTGCATTATACTTACGTGTACCCAGTGAGGGCCAGTGCCTACATCCTCAGGAGACTGAGGTTCTGTTTCTGCCTCTACCACTGCCTGGCTATGTGACCTTGGAAAAGTCATTTTCCTGCTCTTGTGCCTCTATTTCCCCTCCTATACAAGCTCTGTGGAACAGCTCTTGTCCCTTACTGTGTGGTCTAAACTGCCTGCTTCTGTTGGTAGCATCTAAGGTATATATGTGCACAGTCCTAAAGCACAGATAAAAAAAACAGTGTATACCATGAGACATGGCTTCAGCAAGTAGAGCAAAGACAGGCCTGAAGGGCCTGGGTATGTACACAAGTGCACACCCAACATGCTCTCGACTTGCCCAACCCATGACTCACTGTCTCCATGGCTATTTTTAGCAGTGTGGAGTCCTGCTGTCTGCTCACTACTGGAGCCTTCTCTTTCCCCTTCTGCAAGGAAAAGTGCTCCTCGCTCCCCCTTGCTGGAGCACTTCCCCACCTCAGGAAAAGATGCCTGCAGCTGGGAGGCAGGCATCTCCCAGTTGCCAGAGCCTTTCCCCTCCACAGGGAAAGACTCTGATGGAGGGAGGCAGCAGGAAAAGAGGCCAGCAGGCGACAGGCAGCTAAGAAAAGCTTGGTCAGTGTGGATGCAATAAGCCCAAGGTGGTTCACCAGGGTTGGCCCCTGTTAGGCTGCCAGCACTTTATTTACCTGTGTATCCACAGGGGTGGCCACTTGCAGCTCCCAATGGCCACAGACCAGGTCACCGCTTCCCACAGCTCCCATTGACCAGAATGGCGATCCACAGCCAACAGGAGCCGTAAGCGGCCATACCTGCTGATGCAGAGGAAAATGAAGCCCGTGGCAGCCTGCCAGGGGCTAACCCTGGTAAACTGCATCTGGCCTGCAGGCCACTCATTGCGCACCCCTACCCTCCATGCTACCACTAATGGGGTGTGGCACATGAGTAGCCAATGCAAACACACTGTGCACAGAGGGACTTCTAGGTACATTGTAATAAAAAAGAATTAATCTCTTATACAGACACATTTTGAATGCGCTTTCAAGGGACAGATCTCTTCCCTCCAAAGGAGATATCTCTCAAGTCCACAGGTAAAGCTGCAGTTCTGCTATCTAATGGCAGCCAGGTAATGAACGAGAAGATGGTGCTGATTCCCATGCTATCTCCAAGAGTCTGAAATGACTACTTTGCCATCAAGGTTCTCACCTTCTTTAGTGCCTCCCAGGCTGAAGAAAATGTGCAAGAGAGGATGGTGCAAAACTTGCACGCTAACCACTCTCAAATTTGAGGGGAGAGTGAGTGGATAGCTTTGCCTCGGTTGTTACTATGCTGCCATTACATGGCTGAGACCTGCTCTACGGTAGACCTGGAAGGTCAGCTTAAGGTATGCAACACCAGCTACATAGAATACGTAACTGGAATCAGTTTACCTTAAGCCAAGCTTGGCGCCGTCTCCTCTGTGGAAGGCCAATGGGAACAAACACTCCCATTAGCTTCCCTTACTCCTCACAACTGCGATGAGTACAGATGCCGGCTGGACCTGACCTCAGTGTTCAATGTATGGATCTGTACTAGACTTGCTAGTGTCTAGCTGCGATGAGTGAAGATGTTCCCCGAGAGATGAGCTCCTTTCCTTCTCTTGCATTTGTCTGAGATCTTATGGCACAAAATAGCCTGCCCGCTGCATTCCAAGTCTGACAGCTGTGTTGGACTGGACGTACCTGATGGTGCTCCAGATGCATCTTGTTCTGTTTGATAATGTTTTCTTTTTCCAGAAGCTCTTTCTGTTGCCTTTCAAACTCCTCTTTTCCCTGTTTTGCGCAAGAGGAAAAATAGACCTTGTGTCACATCATAATTCTCTGGAGTTACTAAATGCTCATCAACAGTGTGGTAAACATACCTTCTTCTACTGCCACCTTAATTTGTAGCATACCCACGTGAGGACAAAGAGGAAATAGACCATGTTATGTTAGTGACAGGCTACAGCCATTACATATAGAGCAAACTCGTTTGACTGAATTTTTAAAAACTATACCCAGTGTGCAGTCTGGGCTGAATGAAGTTTCTCGGGCAACCTTTGATGTGCCTCCATTTAAAAAAATCGAGAGTATTTTGGTGTGACCATCTGCCTTCTGTCTTGCCATGAACAGTTCTTACAGAAAGGAGCATGCGGCAAATCTTAATTTGCACTGAGCAGAATAATATCTCTGGCTCGCTTACCTGTAGGTGAACATAATCATAATCATCCATCCAGCTCTTCTCAGAGCCCTCGCTATTGGTACTAGGGGGATGCTGGTCTTTGCTCAGAAGTGGGGGCAAAGAACTTAAGTGGTCCACCGTTTTCTGTCCGTGATGTAACAGCTGATTCTGAGGGCTGTGGTATGCATAGTCAGTTGTGTTCATAATGTTCTCCGAAACATTCTTTAAACGCGAGTTGCCTGAGGCCTTTTTGAATAGCATCTCTGCATTGATGCTAATGGTAGTGGTCAGTTGCTTGGCATCATCTGGGACTGTCCTTGCCACCATCACAAATCGGTCTAGATCATCCCACTTGTTTTGGGGTTTGTTGACTGCCAGGATGTTCAATGACCAGCTGTAGCTACTCAGGTCATGGCTGGTCTGAGTTAAGATCTGGTGAGAATCCTCCAGTCTCTGCAGCTCCCTTCTCATTTTGTTATAGAGACTGATCTCTGAGAGACAGGAAGCATTGACTGTGGCTCCTTTCGCAAACTGAAGATACTCCCCCAATGACTGCTCCGCTTTTTCCACAGTAGTGTGGATTTCATTGATATTTTTCTCCATGTACCCATAAGACCGCCAGTCTGTGTTAACAAAGGCCATGAGCTTAGAGACCACTGTCTCCACTGTCTGCTGAAGCCAATAAAGTCTCTCTATCGCTGTGTCTGGATCCAGTATTAATCGCTTGTCCTGAGAAGTCGAGGCTGAAAAAGAAGACTCCTTTGAAGTTGTGGAAGATGTAGACATGTTACTCCTGGTGCTTCCTGTGCTGGAGAAAGACAGTCTATTTATCCCATCTGTCACATCTTTCAGTCCTTTAGTGTCTTGTATAGTCTGCGGGGGCACATCATACACACCTTCACTTCCCTCTGTATTTGGACTCTTGCTGAATCCTGCCTGCTGTCCAGGAAGTGGAACTCCACGCGGAGTATCATACACATCCTTTTGAGGAGCAATCTGCTGACCAAGAAATTGATTTTGATGGCTCACTGGAATGTCATACAGGCCGTGTTTGCCTGACATTAAATCAGTAGGTAGAGGGATGTCAGTGATACATTTCTTGCTGAGTTCTTTTGTAGTGGAAGGAGGGATGTCGTATACGCCTTCTAGTCTTGCATTATGGGTCACTGAAGGAGGAAAATCCAGCAAGTTTTCCCTCAGTTCTGTATCCTCTCTGCATGCCGATGCAGGGATGTCATAGATCTGATGGGCAAAAAAGCAAGCCATGAGCGCAAAGGTAAAATAGCAAAGACATCTTCCATGGAACTAGCATTAACATTCAGGAGCAAAGTGAAGCCAGGAGAGAATCCTGGCCTCAGTAAAGTCAATGTAAGATTTGCTACTGACTTCAATGGGGCCAGATTTTCCTCCTGGATTTCATAAAGTCACAGTTTTCTTACTAATTACACAATGTTTGTCTTGATGGAAATGAACAAACCTTTTAAACGTAGAGGGGAAAATGTAGCTTTAGCTCTAATTTATAGTTACCCCCTATGTGAGGTTAGTAATTATGTTACAAAGTTTTAATATATGTGTTAAAAGCCTAAGGGCATGTTTAACGTACTAGAATTCAATATCCTTCTTCCGTATAATGTACACTTTTATGTCTAAACTCGTCTTCACTCTGACATGAAAACACATGTATGATCTACTGAAATTGCATTAGACTTACCCCCTTTATAGGTGGCACATCATACACCCCTTGAGCTCTTGCCTCTCCCGTTGGGACTGAATGCACAGGCCCCTTAACCGATGCTGGGGGGACGTCGTATATCTACCGAGAGAACAAATCGGTTACAGAAAGCCGAGCAGTCCCAGGATAGCTGTGATTTCAGAGGAGTTCTATTTTTAAATAGAAGGACAAAGGGGAGCAAGGGCTTTTGCTTTTCTGAACGTGGAGGCTGGCGGGCAGATACTAAGAGATGAAATATGCTTTTGATCGCTCCTTTAAGGGGACTATGGGTTGGGCAGATGAAGTTTCATGGGAAATGCTTTATCTGAATTCCAGTCTCAAAGTTGAAGCAAGATCTGCACATAGGACCCCCTCATCCCTTTCTTATTTACAGATGCAAAGGGGATGGAATCCTGACAGAGCTCTGCTGGGGGGCCAGGTGGGAGAAAGAAACAGAGGAAGAGAGGTTGCCACAATGGCAGGTACACTTCACAAGACTGGATGTGTGCAGTGTGGGAGGGAGCGGGCCTGGGAGGTAATGGTGGGTACAGGGTTGCCACCTGTCTAGGCTTTCCCAGGATCATTCCTTTTTTTGAGCCAGCTGTCCTGGGAAATGTGGAAGGACGTGCTATATACACTGCCAGCTGTTCAGCTTTGGGCACTCAGGGTCATTCTTGATATTCTGGGTTTTTATATCTCCGGGATGGCAATGGTGGGTGGGGTAACTGCTCTCTGTGGCATCGTTGTCTCTCATTCCCCAAACCTGTGAGATTTAATGCTTAACCATGTCAGCATTCAGCACCCTTGGCCAGCCTCAGCGATGTGGGACCACCCTACTGAGAAGGTTGCAGGGAGCAGACTTGTTAAGTGTACTACATGGTGTGGCAGGTGCTGCAATACAGTGGATTCTCCCTCCCTAATTTGATGTGCTGCCTTCTCTGGTGGTGCCTTGCGAGGATGGGCAGCAGAAACAAGGGGTGGGGAGAAGAAGGCGAGACTCCTCCTGTGGCTCTCAGGCCGTGCCCCATCTCTTTGTCCAGCAGGCAAGGGATCTCAGAGAAGAAGCGAGCTAATGAATTAACAAGCTTTTTGGGTAGATGCGGTCTGAAAAGGGAATGAGCAGCATGGCCCCCAAAGAAGGGGCGGAGACTAGGAAGTGGATCAGGCCCTGGCCTTATGGGTTCTTCAAGATGATGGGAGGAGATGCCACTTCCTGCTGTGAGAAGTGTGCTAGCCCAGCTTACCCCTCAAACTCTGTCCCCTTCCCTCCCCAGTAAAAAACACGGCCATCTCCTAGGCTTGCTGTCTCTGCTTCTTAGAGTGGCGCATGGCTCAGGGCTGTCAATTCAAAAAGGACCTTGGCAAGAGCCCAGATTTGGACCAAAAAAGTCGAGTCGAAAGGGGACTTATACAATGTCTGCTCAGCATTACTGACTGGACACCAAAAGTCAGATTACCACAGTCACTGTGATGCACCTTTGCCACTGACAAGGCAGGAAGAGCAGCTGCGGCTGGAGGAGGAGGGATCCTGATGGTGCACAGCACATGAGGAGCAGGGCTGCAGCTGGACTTGCAGCTCATGATGGCCCATCCTGACTTCTCAGCCTTCCAGGGCCCTGTGTCTCTCCGGCTCCTCACTCCAGGGTCAGACAACCTTCCTGCCGCCTCACTGTCACCTGACTGGGCACTCCATGTCAGTGCTTCCCATCCTGGCTCTGCAAACAGCAGGGAGGGAGTGACTAGGGTGCCTGTAGCATTTGGTTTTGAAAAAATAGAAAGTTGGCAACTCTAGGGCAGGGGCAATGGAGTCTTGCAGAAAGGAAGGGCCAGCCTGAATTAAACTTTTTAGTAGAGCCCTGCAAATCCATGGAGATGCGGATATCTGTGGCTCATCTTTGTGGATACAAATGCGGATACAACTGTTGTGTTGGTGCAGGGCTCTATTTATTAGGGACAGCTGGTGTTATGTTAATTTTATTGGGGGAGAGGTGGAGAAGAGCCCTGGCCCTGAATTAATTTTTATGGGACATCTAGAATTAATGTTATTATGGGAACCCTAATCAGGAACCACTCCCTCCCCTCCAAATCTGCCTTCCACTTGCATGGGTTGACTCCACTTCTCTCTCCAAACTCCCATGTCTTCAAGCTGCCTGGGTTATTATTTCACAACATCTGTTTAAAGAATTCATACAGCAAACACTCTCATCTGTCCATTAGGCATGACGATGTGCAGCAGAACTCAGGCGTTCCATATTTTGGTCATTTGTGTGACTCTGGTTCTTTGGTAGTTTTCTATATCCTTGAAATTCATAAGTGATGGGGGCCAACTCCCCCGTTTGTTCATGGGAGTAGGGGTACAATCCAGTGTCAGGAAAAGAATCTTGCAGACACTTGGTCAGAACAATCTTCTCCATGGAAGTAGCTAGTGCAGGGGACAACTGTGCCCCTACTGAGTAAACTAGTGCCAGCTGTGCAATAACAGAAGGTGAAAACATTTCCTTTGGCAACATATTTACTCTGCTTGAGTACTGTGTCTGACCAAAACAATAACTCCTAGCCCTTGGCAAGTATATGTCATTTTGATGTTTGTGTACTGCCAGATCTTAACATCCAATGCATTTTGTGCACAAGGAAATAGAGAAGGACACCTCACCAGACACCTAGTATGCACTAGAAGCACTACATTAGCAAACCTGCATTCATGCAGCTGCACAGCAGTAGCACATCTGGTAAAGATGCTCTAGGCAGCTGAGATAGAGTTCTCTTATCAGTATAATTACACCGCCTCCACGAGGGGTGGTAGCAATGTAAGCGGGAGAGTGTCTCAAATCAGCATTGATGCTTGAGTGGGTGTAACTTGAGTTATTCGGGTGGGGGTGACATTTTTACATCCCTGTTTATAATTTTAACAAATTATTTTGACATAAGCCATAGGGTAGACTTATGCCAATTGACAAAATATTTTCATTTAGGAATGAAATAATGTCTCCTGCACTTCAACTTCAGATAAAATGGCAAGACTTTTTGTAGCTTTTCAGTATTATAACAGTTTTATTGGTACGTACCCCTTGGGAAGGACGAACTGGAGGGATATCATAGGTATCTTTCTGATATTTGGAAGGGAACTCATAAGCATAAGCTTGTCCTGTCCTGATTGGAGTTACTACCTGTAGGTTAAAAGAGAAGGAGATGAAAACAAAATTTCTCAAGGCTCTTAGCATGGGCTGTCTTAATTTGATACGATCCTCTACACAAACATCACAGTGCTATCAACTCTTACACTTTTTATCTGGCAATTTTATTAATGAACATCCATAGAGACAGATGTATTTTTAGAAGTGTATTCCAAAACTACCCTTACTGGTTACAATGAGATTATTATTTCTTCCACGAGCAGCTCTACTCCTGCTATAAAACTCTTCTGTAGTAATTATTTACTAAGGAGTCGAGTAACCTCATCTGGTTCGCCTTTCCTTTCTGAGTCAGGCTCTATGTACCTAATCTCTATCCTCAGAAATACTTAGGTACCAACAGGTTACAATGGGAATTAGATGCCTAAATACCTTGGAGGATCTGGACCTAAAGTCCTAATCTCTCAACCCTTACTAAAGTGAATATCCCAGAAAAACGTAAAAAACAACAAACAGTCTTGCAGCACCTTTAAGACTTACAAAACATATAGGTGGTATCTTGAGCTTTCTTGGGCACAACCTACTTCTTCAGATGAATGGACAAATGAAAGTAATGGCCCAATGACTTTGCCAGGACTGCATGTGTGAAGTTCTCGACAATGGAGCATTTGTTGTGGCTGTGAAGTTCCTTTAAATGGAAGGTGCTACATTCAACCTGCTAAAGCAGGAAATTTACTCTTGGGGTTTATGTGTAATTAGTCCACATTAGCAGCCAACAGACTGGAAAGTATAAGCAGTTCTTGCAACTACACTATGTGACAAAACAGTAATGGTGAGAATTTACATTGCTTGTGTTTTCTAAATCCTAAACTGCCACCACTTATTTCAAATAAAATGTTGTTAAAAATTAAATACATCACATCAGAGAGAACCATCTGCATCAGAAAGTTCAATGTACAGTAGTTTGGTTTAAAAGAAATGATACATAACCTCCAAAAACTGTATTTATAGTGGAAACATTGATATACTGAAAATTCTGTCCTTGCTCGAGTAAAGAAATATACAGTAGAATAAAGACACACAAAGACAGAATGTCATAGGATTGTACAAGAAGTGGTTTCAGGTTCAGCTGAGGAAAATCGTGAACAAGAGTTACTTAATTTTCCTTGTGACTATGTACAAGCCATTAAATAGAGTTTTTGAGCGCACTGTTGGTAAAGACCACACAACACTTTTTGAAGAAGTCTGTCTCCGCATCCTGGCCAAACTCCACTGTGAATTTTGCCTAAGCAAGGATTGCAGGACTGAGTCTCTGATATTCATGCTCTGCATATCTCTATTCTCCCTGCAAATTCAGAGGACTACACTGTTCTTCTTCACTTCCAGTCTTTATGTGTTTGGGAGCATTTGACTGTACCATTAAACAGCTGTTGAATTCCTCGGTAGAGGTGGCTGATGTCATTCCTGGTTTGTCTAGGCCAGATTCAAACTGATGCAAAGAAGTTAAGATGCCCTGGGAAGATAAGGAATGGTATTCACTTCCCGGGGAGTGCAGGGAGAGGTGGTGGTTTTGGTAAATTGGTACTTATACAGTGCCCTTACCTGGGTTTCTGCCAGAGGATGGGAGAGGGCTGGAACAGTTTAAGTTTACATTGGAGCTCTGATTTCCCACTTATGATGCCAAGCTGATATTTAAAAAAGGTGCAATTTATAGGTTCCATAGAAATTAATCTAAAAATTTATAAACTTTAATACAATAGGATCTATAGAATTCTCCATTACCTTTTATAGGATGATTAAACAGGAAACCTATGAGAAATTATAATTTGCCATTAATTTCTGCCTTTTTTCATAAAGGATCACCTTGACCATTTCCTCTGGCCAAATTTATATATTTCTGGAGTTGTACTGTCTGCCTGTGGACTCCAAGGGGAGTGGGGTAGGAGGAATAGCTAATCACCCTTTCTCCGTGTGGTTTTTCTGTCAGCAGGGGATGGCAGAGCAGCTCCTGAAGTGAATCTGGCCAGCATATATAGTCTGTAATGTGTTTTGGGATCCTTCAGGGTGGAAGGCATGCTATGAATGTAAGACATTATTAGCTTACTTTTATTAGACTGGCAGACGCTGAGTAAAATTCCAACTGTGGTACCAAAAACCAGTCAAAGACAGGAATGAATGTAATGCAAATACAATGAACCTCATCTGGCCTACCAATAGGTTTACATAGTAATGCTGAGCACCATAATGTAAAAGAGATACCTTGGAGTCAAAGGACTTGCTTTTAAGAATGTTTACTCAGTATCCTTTCCAGGGGTTTCTAAATTGCAGTGATTCTTTTGCATTAATAATAAGCCCCCAGGGTTTCACCAGCAATCCTCCATTAGTGCAGCCATTGCAAATTAGAAACAAAAGGTTGTTCCCTGAATAGCCATTATCTTTAATCCTTTTCTTTAATGTGAAAACTGTGACGTCAGGCTGGCTGCTTAATAAATTATAGAGAAATGCTCTACTGCAGCCTTGAAGAATTGTAGTGCTCTGGAACTCAGCCAAAGATACCAGTACAGCCCTGGAGAGGCGAGTTGGGGGTGGTGGGTGATTGCTAAATTGTTGAAATCCAAAGTTTCTTAATTGCTTGTTTGCATTAAAGTGCACTGGGAATCTGCCATAGAGCAGTCCTGGCTGCTTAATAAATTATAGAGAAATGCTCTACTGCAGCCTTGAAGAATTGTAGTGCTCTGGAACTCAGCCAAAGATACCAGTACAGCCCTGGAGAGGCGAGTTGGGGGTGGTGGGTGATTGCTAAATTGTTGAAATCCAAAGTTTCTTAATTGCTTGTTTGCATTAAAGTGCACTGGGAATCTGCCATAGAGCAGTCAAA